CCCCCCTCCACCCATTTTTTTGAAAACTTTCTTTCTCCTCTGAGGCCTCTCCAGGCGTTTTTATTTTGGGTCCCTTTTGGGGGATCGATGACAGGGACTGAGGGGCTCCTTATTACAACCTTCTTCGTCTCCTGAGCTTCAAGAGGGCTGAAATTGCGTTTCGCGGCTCCACTAAACAGACATTCCTCCAGGAATTTCCTCTCTCCTCTTCCCGAGTTTAGCAAGGAAGCTAATTTCTTTTTCCTTTACTCCCTCGCGGAAGGTCTATGGGAGCGGGCCGGCTCTCGGGGTCCTGGCCGCTGGCGGGTACCTGAGGAGCGGGGGACACTCACGCGGATGACATAGCGTGAGGAGTTTCTGTCGTCCAGGTTAACGGTGAGTGAAAAGAGCGCGGCGGCGCTGTACACGCCCTGCGCCTTGTACAGCAGCCGGTTGAGGTCCCAGTGTCCCGAGGACCCCGGGCGCTCGGCGGCGCCACCCAGGTCCCAGCCTCCGCAGTCCTGGATGACCTCGAGCATGGGCCTGGGGCCGAGCCTCTCTATCTCGCGCATGTCGAGGCACGAGCGGAAGAAGGCACGCACCTTGCGCTGGGCCGCGCCACCCGGCCCACCCCCGGGCCGCGCCAGCAGGCGCTGCAGGCGCTCCTCGTTCTGCTCGCCGATGGCCGCGATGGTGCCGTAGGTGAGCTTGTCGTCGGGGATGGCGTGCCGCCGTAGCCAGCCACCACACGCGAAGGAATAGAAGTCCTGGCACGGGTCTATGCTGGTGTCCAGGTTGGCGGACAGGAAGCGGGCGGCGCGCGCGAAAGCCTTGCGTTCGGGGCACCCTCCGAGCAGGCTCCGCTGCCCGCCGCGCCCGGACCCAGGTACTTGAGCGCCAGCATTGCTGCCAGGATGGCGCAAAGGCCGGCGGCGAACACCAGCCCCGACAGCAGGCACACCTCGCGCCGGTTCCAGCGTGGCAGCCCAGCCCGGGTCCCGGTGGCGCTGCGCCCAGCGCCCAGCGGGAAGCCAGGGGGCAGCGAGGTCCTGCGCGCACCCCCCGTGCCGCACCGGCTCACATACTTGACCTCCTGGAACTCGTCGTAGTGCGCAGTCATTGAAAATGGGGCCTCCATGGCGCTGCCGGCGCCACCCTGCAGCCCTTGGCGATCTCCGTTACAGGATGCACCCGGCCGCCGGCCTTCTGTCTGGCCTCCGCATGGCCCCCCCAGGCCGCAGCTACAGGAAGGGTAGATGCAGGCTTAGAGAGGCACTGGGGCCCGACGGAAGGGGTGCAGGCCTGGGTCCAGAGGCTGGAGGTCATCCGACTCCCCAACAGCGAGCAGCCCTGGCGCCTGGCCTCCCTGCGCCAAAAGGAGAACGAGGGAAGGGGAAGGCTCAGAGTGGCCACCACTTCCCACCGATGCATCCTTTGACCTGTCTCCTCTTTCCCTGAACACCTATGCCCGTCGCAGATTTAGGAGGCCCCAGGTGGAAAGCTGGGAGCACCAGGCAGGGGGCCTGGCACGTAGTAGGCCTTCAATGAAAGACTGTTTCTCTTGCCTTAGCCTTTCTTGTCCAAGACCTGCTACGGCCAAGGCCGGTGGGGGAGGGGGAAAGCGGAAACTGGAGAAAGGAGGTGCGGTCCGGAGAGCGTCTATGCGGACACTGAAGCCGCCTTCAGCTCCCCGAAATTAGACGTTCGAGAAAGCGGTTGAAAAAACAAACGGCCCTCGCGGATGTCAACAGGGCGACCCCCAGCCCCGTCTCCTTCTGTTCAATAGCTAGAATGCCCCTTTCTCAAGCGTCGCCTGCCGTCTGGCCCAGAAAGAGTCGGAACCCCCGACGGCCCTACGAACCTGGACCCAGTACCGTCTCCAGCTCCCCGTCCCGCCTGGGCTACTCCCGGCTTCAACAGGTTCTCCTTTGGAACCCAAACTTGGGCGAAGTTTCACCCCTAGCGTGGAGGGAGCCGGCTCCGCGCGCCCCGAGGTCTGGACGCTGAGCCTACCGCACCG